CCAAACGTTTCTCTGATTCTATCTGTCGGGGCAGCCCTGTTCCTAATAAAATCTTCTGCATCTTGTAAAACTTTAAATAGCCATCTGTTTTCTTTAGGTGGAGCTGCAGGGCTCCTCTGTCTCCCTGGTGCTTTGAGGCTTCTCCAGCTCTTGATCAAACCCTTCCTATGAATCAGTGAGGCTGGCAGCAGCATTTCTGACTGAACTAGAGCAACCTTTTGAAGCTGTGATAACGTGCTCTGTGCTTCAGCTTTTTGTAAGAACCAGCTGGCAAAGGAGATCCGAGGCTCTCACAGTTCTGTGTCCCTCGCCTTCCATGAAACATCATCTGCAGAGCTCACGTCATTTTTTTTGCTGACAGCAACACACAGCTCGTTTTGGAATCAGGAAAATGAGTGTGCATCTCTTCCTTCAGCATATGCTTCCAAGTCTAAAAGCAAAGCTTGGAAGAGAGACAGCTTATTTTGTGCTTGCACAGGACCGAGCAGAAGGTTCCTTTCCTGCTTTGTGTCTCTAGGGAAAATGTCAAGGAGCTCTTGTGTGTGTGTGTGCTGAGTGCTGTGCTGACAGAGCTGAGGAGAGATCTCAGCCTGCCAAAGAGGGATAGGCATCAGTTGGTCAGGCAGGTCACCTGGAACTCTAGTTCTTTGATAGTGTCCATACATGTATTTGCAGCCCATCTTTCTCCTTTCAGCATCTAAAGGGGTTGTAAGAAAGAAGGGGACAGAGACTCTTCAGCAAGGTCTGTTGTGATGGGATGAGGGGAAATGGCTTCAAACTGGGGGAGGTTTAGATTGGTCGTAAAGTTTTTTACAACAAGGGTAGTGAAGCACTGACACAGGTTGGCCAGAGGTGGTGGGTGCCCTGTCCCTGCAGACCTGTAGGTGTCCTCATTGATTGTAGAGGAGTTGGATAGATGGCCTTCAGGGGTCCCTTCCAGCTCAAAGGATGCTATGATTCCTCCCCATCTTCCTGAGAGGCTTCTTTCCTCTTGGTCTTGGTTGTCAAAAAGGAAAATTCAGATAGAGGTGAGCAATGGGTGGCTGCACAACTTGTCTCAGAGACAGGGAGTTATTTCTTAACAGTTGCTTTTCTGCTTCAGGTACACTCACATGAGAAAGCCAGCAGTCTTTCCCACCTTCAGAGGAATCTCCACATGCCTGCAGGCTTGCACTAGTTAGTAGGCAGGGTGTGGGGTTCTCATTTAAGACTCCTTTACAGCTTATGGAGGCATCTGATCTCTTCTGATCCCAGAAGCCCTGCGGTCTGGGTCCTGCCTGGTGAACAGAAGCACCATAGAACAGCACGAGGTTTCTGGAAAGTGGGTACGTTTCCCCAGGGAATGGATTTGAGAACTGCACAGTTCATTCTGCTCAGAGCTTCAGTAGAATGAAGCCTTCCCTATTTTTAAACAGAAAGCTTTGGTGAAATAAAAGCAAGGACGTGTGTGGTGCAGCAAACGAAACCTCTGCTTGCATAAACAGATCGATAAACCGATTTGTGTTTGCTGACCAAAAGAAAAAGCTAATTGCAAATACTCCGTATTCAACATCTGTGGTGAAAGTAGAGTAATTGGAATAACGAGAAATCCAATTTGCTTTTGCTTGGAGCTTGTTCTTCCCTAGGCTTCATTTAGCTGGACTGGTGCGTATGGGCTGGTTATTGCAGGCTGGTACGTTCTGTATGGAGTTCTTCAAATTCTAACTCACCAAGTTTGCCACCTGGCCTTGGCCACTTGGAGGGATGGGGCACCCACACCCATAACAACACTTTCCTACACGCTTTTCCTGAAAGTGTAGCTCTGAGAAAAGTGTTCTTGTGTGTCAGTCCTCAGGTATTTATTGATTTTAATTCATCTTTTGTGTCTGTTCGGATCAAAGTAGAAAAGAAAGGATGGAGATCCTGGAACGACTGCATCTCTGCGATACAGGTGATATTCAGAAGGATGAGATATTGTAGGCAGACATAAAGAAGTTCCCCAGGAAGAACAACAAGGTCGGAGTCATGCAATTGTTTTTTTCCATTGGGGTGGGACAGGAGCTGTTTCAAGCTATCCAGGTCATCTCACTTGCTGCTAGCCATAGTGCAGATGGTAATGAAGACTGAGAAAGATGATTCCCTTTGCTATTTATTGAGCAGAAGAAGCACCAGATGCAGAAGTATGGTAGGAAGTCTACAGGCTTGGTATGTGACTGTTAGCTGTGCGTGTCAGAGTCAGATTGAGCTCTCTGGTTCTCTTGTTGCAAGTAGCATAAGGACTGTGTGCTTCAAAACAGACGTGGCTCTGTAAAATGGACTGGTGTGTTCAGCTGCAACCTCCAGTGTGCTTTTTTCCCCCCACATTTGAATAGGCTTTTTGCTGTTTTAGATATCCTCTTCATCACCAAACACCTTAATGAGTTTCTGATCAAAGATTGTCCATATTCTTTTATGCAAGAAGTGTCTTTTTTTTACTCAGCTGATGAAATGTGTTTTGGTAATGAATGGCAAGAAAGAAGTTATTCAGTGGTAGGCAATGACAGACTAATGATAGTTGTAAACAGCAGACAGCCTGAACTTCAAGCCATTTTTATTAATGTAGTTCTTGAAACATTGGCAGGAATGTGATTTCTCTGTGGCTCCAAAATGCAGAAGTGGTGTCTGATCCTTCAGAACACGAGGGCTATAATGATCAGAGGGATTTTTACTTTCTATTGTGACTATGCTCAAGGATGCTGAGTTTTGTTCATGCACCAGTATTTCCTTTCTGTCCCATATTCTGTGCCATTTTCTCTCTTTTCTTGTATAGTTAGCAGCAGTGCTTGTGTGTCCCTTTGGAACACGTGAGGTAAGGTAAGTAAGCAGGCTGTTTCAGTCATCTCTTGCAAAATACAGTGTAAAGTGCTGTATGAATGTGGATCATGGACTTTGTGTACCCTGATACCTGAGCAGCACATCCTGAGTGTCGACCTGACAGAAAAGGCAGCATTGGCTGTAGGCAGGCAGAGCAGAGCAGCTCTGAGAGCATCCTGCCCTTTCAGTGTCAAGTTCTCCCATGGATTAGCTCTCTTGCAAGTGGCTTTCAGCTTCTTGAGAAGGGAAGATTGCTTATGGTGAATGGCAAACCTCAGAAAAATCAGGACGTGCTTCTTCTTTGGACCTTTTGTAAGAAGAAAAGGGCATTCTATCTGACTTCCCTGTTGGTAGGTGCTGAATTTTAAAAGATAGAATCCTGTCACAGAATAGCCACGTTCTTTTCTTCCACACCAAAAGAAGGATGAAAGACGTGCAGCAGCAGCCTGCTTTTTCAATACACGTGCTGTTCTCACTTGGTTACATGTGTGTGGTGGTGTATGACCTCAACTCCTGTGCCAGAATCTTTACTTCATTGCCTTAAGCTGTGCAGCTGTTGTTAAAGCCACTTAGAAAGGGTCTCCATGCACTGTGTTATCGGTGTTTGTAAGCTTTTATGGCTGTACTTTGTGTATTAAGGGGTTATAGAAGTAATCAATGATTTTCTGGCTTGGTTTTGTTTCTTTAAAACCAGAACTCCTTCCTGTTCTGTTGTGATGTGTTCACAAAAATTCCTTATCTAACATCACCTGCTGCATTCCAAATGTTTTGTGGACTTCCTCCCATTGGGGCTGTTTTAGTGTTGACCACTGAGGCCAAGAACTCTTGCAGAAAGATCTCCCTGCCCTTGGCTTTGGAATGAATACGAAGGTCAGCACTTGCTTGTGGGATTCATGGCTGTGAAGGGACAAAAGAACCAGCACCCTGGCAGTGTGTCACAGTCCATCCTGTGAGCAGGATGGCTCACCTTCAAACAGAAAGGACTTCATCAGGACAAAGCAGGTGGGAACCCAAATTAGAGTCATAGAGTGGTTCAGGTGAGAAGGGGCTGGTTCCAACATGAGAGGGATCCTCTTCCCAAAGAAGGGCTGGGATGAAAGGGCAAATCTCGAGATGAAGTCTCCCAATGAAGAAATAACAGCTTTCTCTTGGAATCTTTATTAAGGGAAGTATATGCAGGGTATTTTATTAATAGAAAATGCGGTGAAGCCCTTAGAGCATCCACATGGACTTCCCTCAGCTCCTCAGATCCCAGTAAACTGGGGACCATGCAGAAGCCTTTGGAGCTTGGCTGCTTTCAATAGAGAGGGTTTGGCAAGTTCAATCAACAGGAGAGGAAAGGATCAGTGAGCAGATGCCTGGGATGTGCTTAGAAAAGGAGAGTGAAGAAAGAGATGTATGCATCTGTCTTCATTTCTCCTGCTTTCATATGTTTCATGCGATTCATTTAGAGGGTGGGCACTGCATTGAAACCCACCTCCATCATCTGATCTACCCCAGCTGCCTCCTGTGTGATCTCATCACAACACTGAAACAGTGTTGGAGTGAGAGCTCCTCACTGTCTGCACTGCCTAGCCCAGAGTTTGGTGCTTCGGAGAAGGGAAGATGACTTCCCATTGGCAAAGGCTGGGGTGTGGCACTATGGGTGACCCCATCCCCATGGTCCCAGTGTGAAGCTGTGGGGATGAGTCCATGGCAGTGGTTTTCATGAGCACCTTTAGGACTGCAGTGGATCTGCCCAGGGGTGTGGGAGTGCAGGTGACTTGAAGGAAGAACTGATGTAGGAAAATAGAGGAATAAAAGGAACAAGAAGGGCTGGTTGCTTATAATTGGGTGACAGATCATTGTGTAGGGGGAATGTGTGTGCCAGTCCCAGTGTGTAGCTGTGTGTTTGTGTCTGCCAGCTGGGAAAACACGTGTGGACATGAGGTGTGGAGCCGAGGCAGCCTTGTCTCTGTTAGCTGCTGGATTCCCTCTTCCCCCTCGCAGGCTCTTGAAGTAATTGTGTCTTATTCTTCTACTGTTGGAAGATTTGAGGATGAAAGAGCGAGAGGAAGGGGCAGAATGCCCTGCAACACCTTTTTAGGGGACAGGAGGAATGAATGAATGAATGAATCAGCAGGGTCGTGCCGGGACGTTTTGTTCTAATTCCCTCTTTTGTGTTTCAGCCCTGGCCCAGTGTATCCAACCTGGCCAAGGATTTCATCGACCGCCTGCTCACGGTGGACCCCAGCGACAGGATGACAGCCCTCCAGGCCCTGAAGCACCCCTGGGTGGTCAGCATGGCAGCTTCCTCCTCCATGAAGAACCTGCACCGTTCCATCTCCCAAAACCTTCTCAAGAGAGCCTCCTCTCGCTGCCAGAGCACCAAGTCAGCACAGTCCACGCGTTCCAGCCGCTCCACCAAATCCAACAAGTCACGGAGGGTTCGGGAGCGGGAGCTGCGAGAGCTCAACCTGCGCTACCAGCAGCAATACACTGGCTGAGCACCAGGCTGGGACCTGCCCGAAGTCTTTCCAGACATCTTCTCTGCAGTGTAGGTGTGCGGCACCCCTTTGCTGCAGGTTCCTCCCTCCCTTCTTTCAGGTGTGTTGTGTCCCTCCTCCCCACTGTGCGGAGGAAAAGGAACCTTGTGGTGGCACTTGTGGGCCAGCCGTGCCCACGCAGGGATCGGAGCAGCTCTCGTTGGCTTAGAGCTCAGAGCCTTGAGTAACACCCAAATTAAGGAGCTGCAAATGAGGAGAAGAGCTCTTTCTGTAGCCCAGGAGCCCGGTTGTTCGTCGTTATTTATTAATTCCACTCGCATATGGAAACAAAATCACTTTGTGTGTGTGCACGTAGCACATACACACGTGTGGGTGTGTGTTATATATTTAACAAATTTATATATACACACATTCTGAACTGGTTTAGTCACACTCTGTGGTGCCTTTGCAGTGAAGCTGTTGTGAGTCACATGCAGTTAGAACCGAGATAGCACTGACTCACAGCATGCTGCCCATCAGCTCCTCGTCCCAATGCAGTGTCACGGAGATGCCAGACAGCAGTTGTGAATGCGACGGCCGTGAAGCTGTGAGGATCCCCAAAGGGCTGCCTGCCATCAGTGTGCTGACATCAAGGGTTTGCTCACATGATGCAGATTGGCAACCGAAACGAAACGCTGCCACCTCGGAGCTGGAGTCCCTTCCCATTCATCCTGACTGCAGGGCTGCTCCCCAGTGAGGGGCAGCGAGAGAAGGATCGTCCTGCAGGAATTTTGTGCTCCACAGAGATGAAGGCAGTTTTTAGGGGTTCCCCTATTTGTAGTAGGAGCAGCCTCTAACATGCAGGGTTTGGTTTTGTTACCATGACGTGGCTTACTGTAACCAACTGTGTTTCCAATGCTTTGATTGCTTTGGGGTGTCCCCTGCTATTGCCATCAGTTCTCTGGGGCAGGGAAATGGTGGTGAGAGCTGGCGGGGTGACAACAAGAGGCTCCATAGGGGTAGAGTAGGAGCTTGGCTAGCAGAAGCCCAGTCCTGAAATGACAGCAGAGAGATGAGCAGAAACCACCGAGCTGTTAGATACAGCTTACATCCACCAGCAAAAAGTGGGCTGTCAGTTCTATTGAGCTGAAAAAAGGAAATTTCTAGGGATGTGCTTTCCACCCCAGTGCTAGGAATCTGACTACTTCACTTACCTTTTGTTCCCAAGCTCATGGTGAGGAATATGACAGAGGATACTTAAGGATGATGGTCTCAGACACTTGCAGGGGTGAATTCCAAACCCTTTCTATGCGTTTGCACGTTACGTTGGAAGCTCTGCATCCCTTGGGGGCTGCTCTGTCCTGAGTGCCCATCCTTCCATCAGCATTAACTGCTGTTGCAGAATTACTAGCTGTTTTTACTTTAGCTTTGTGGGCTATGGAGGGAAAATAAAAGAAAGGTTCCTTCAGCTTCTTTTCCCTTTTATTGTAGTCTTTCCTGGTTCATTACCAGGAATGATCAACTAGACAGTTTCTGAGAAAACAGGCAGCTTGCCACGTGCTGCTTCATTAGCAGCTCAGTGCTCCTTGTATTCCTGCAAACAGCTCTTCAAAAGCAGCAAGTACTTCAAGGCAGGTATTAACTGGAAAAGTGCTCTTCCCCTTCACATGAGGAGCTGGTCAGATGCTTTCTCAGAGGGCTTCTGGTTATGAGCCATTACTTGAAGGAGTCTTCTGCTTGTTTGGAGCATCGCAGCCAGGCACTGTGACCTTTTATGTCCACTTTGGTGCTTTTATAGCCCTCCCCAGATTATCTTGCATGCTTACCCTTAAAGCAGGTCTTTTACCTATGCAAGAAAGTCAAACTGATGGACTGAGCCAAGACCCCTAGAATCTGAGACCCTTTCCTTTAAGCACTGGGCCACTGACATGCCCAGATTTGTTTGTACCTACCTTGTCCCTGCGTGCTTCACGTGGTTGCAGTAGGAGTGCAGGAGGTTGAGCTCTGGTCTGACCAAGCTCTCCTTCATTCAGCAGAGCAACAGTCTTCAGATCTGTGGCTTAAAACAGCCTTTCAGCCTTGCAGCTGTGGCATGTTTTCAGCTAGGGGACAGGCAATGTGCCACCAGTTCAGGTGCCTTCACTTCAGCCTGTCCTTTGAGGAGCTTTCACTGTGAATGATCTTGCTCGTCTTCACCTGTATTCTGCAGGGGCATCTCAGCTCTCCATTCATCTGGTATCTCAGGACTTTCCCCTTTTCAGAAGTGCCTTTGCCTGAGGATATTAGAAGTTAAAATCTATGATGCTTTATTGTTTTGTTTCATGTGTGTTTTTTTTTTTCCCCATTTCCTTCTTTGGCTCTTAGTAGTGGTTCTTAATTTGGGTGACAAATTCACTGCTGTGTCCTTGGGGTGCAAACCTCAGTGGAGGAGTGCTGTTGTTGCCTGTACTTGGTTAATAGGGTGAAAATGAAACTGGAAGGACATCTAGTGGCTAACTGCACTGTGTCCTCATCCAGATGCAGTTGTAGGGGGTGAAGGAAGCATTGTACATTTGTCTTTTGGAACTTAGCACTACTGTGTAAAGCCAATCCTATCGTTCTGCCCTGGAAGTTTCCCTGCTCTGCTGGGGAGATGGATACAGCCTCAGAGAGCTGCCAGCTGATTCCTTCGTGTTGTGAAGGGAAAGGAATGTGAAAAGGTCTTCCAGACTAAATGTTAATAGTCTACAGACTGTTCAGCTTTGCATCCAGATTTCTGTGTGTGTGTGATGTATTTTCCTACGTATTTTGCTAAAAAGCAATTGCTTGTCCAGTTGTGATTCGCTTCTTACTCTCTCAGGCCTTTACAAACATCAGCCCAGAGACAGCAGATCCCCTCTCTCCTTCAGTCCAGGAGCAGCCTGTGCTGCTTAGCACTGAGATTGCAGCAGCACCCAGTTGCTCCTGCCTGTTTGAAGGGCTCTGCCTTGCTGACATGAAACTGATGGCATGGAGCCTGCGTTACCTGTTTGTTTGGGGAATGAGAGAGCCTCAAACTTAGCTGCTTTGGAATTTGGATATTTTCACAGAATCACAGAAGCATTAAAGTTGGAAAAGACCTCTCAGATCCCCAAGTCCAACCCCACGGTGCCCACGTCCCTCATTGCCACATCCCTATGGCTCTGGGACACCCACAGGGACAGTGACTGCCCTACCTCCCTGTGCAGCTGTGTCAGTGCCTCACCACTCCTTTTGAGCAGAATTTGTTCCTAATATCCAACCTGATATTTAGTCCTTCCTTTAGTTCAGATATTTTCTTCTCTGGTGATTTAAATTTTCTCATGCTCTGCTATGTTTTTCAATCCTGTTTTCTAGCAGAGCCATAGCGTTAGCCTGGAGAGCATGAGTTGTGGTCAGCTGTGCTGTGCAGCATCTCTGGGTGGAGCTCCCTGCGAGCTGTGATGAGTTGTGAAGCGATGTGGAAGCCAACATGTGGTGCTTTGCAGGTGGGAGCACTCCCATTGAGATCCCTGGTGTGTGGGGCCAACATTGGCTTTCACCTTGGTTATGCCAGTTCTCTGTGGGCAGAGTATCACAGAATCACAGAATGGCTAGGGTTGGAAGGGACCTTGAGGATCATGAAGCTCCAACCCCCTGCCACACGCAGGGCCACCAACCTCCACATTTCATAGCAGCCCAGGCTGCCCAGGGCCCCATCCAACCTGGCCTTGAACACCTCCAGGGATGGACGGGGCATCACAGCCTCTCTGGGCAGCTGTTCCAGCACCTCACCACTCTCATAGGACAGAACTTCCCCCTGACGTCCAACCTCAATCTTCCCTCCCTCAACTTAAAACCATTTCCCCTTGTCCTGCTGTTATCTGCCCTTTCAAAGAGTTGATTCCCCTCCTGTCTGTAGGCTCCCTTTAGGTACTGAAGGCTGCAGTGAGGTCACCCCACAGCCTTCTTTTCTCCAGGCTGAACAGGCCCAGCTTCTTCAGCCTGTCTTTGTAGAGGAGGTGCTCCAGCCCCCTGATCATCTTTGTGGCTCTCCTCTGGACCCTCTCCAACAGCTCTCTGTCTTGTATGGGGGGGCCCAGACCTGGACAGAGTACTGCAGATGGGACCTCACAAGAGTGGAGAGTAGTGAGGGAAAAGTAAAGCAGAGGCTGGCTCTTTGGAGATGGCACTGGAGGATTCCCAAAGTGTTCCCTATCTGTAGAAAAAGGTCAGCCCACGGGTTTGGGCAGCTATTTCCCAGCCTTCATCCTGGAAAACAGCGTGCCATGCCAGTTCCTCTCAGACACCCAGCCCCAAGCTGCCTGCACTGCTTGTGGGAGCTTTTTGGTGCTTCTCCTGACCACTTGGTCTCCTCTTCCAGCCTGGATTCAGAAACACAGCCCTCGGGTGCTTGGTGAGCATCAGCGAGCGGCGAATTTGCCAGAAAATGTGAAGCAGCAGGGATGCTTTGTGGGAGCAGCATCACAGAGCGTGGTACCTTCCCCCCCTCGATGTCCCCATGGTGCAGAGCGCTGTCCCCCCCTTTGTGACGCCGTGTCCTCTTCCTGCTGTCCCCCCCATGCTAACACTGTACATCCCATGCGTGTGACCGCTGAGCCACTCACTGCTGTTGCCCAGATGTTGCACTGCGTCTGTTGAATGTGGAACAAATCCTGGCCCAAACCAGAAACGAGCACCTAACAGATGCTGGGAGCCTTCCTGTTGCCTTTCACTGCGGAAGGACACCTCCTGGGGAAGCTCTGGGACCTTCCAGTGCTCGCTGTTATTTTCGGTCACCGAATTTCCTGTGCTGGACTGGAAGCACAGCACTCGTGTCCTGTTCGCTCCTAACGAAGCGCCTGGTTCTGTGCCTTGCCTTTGGGCCCTGTCTTTACAGACCGTCTCATCGAATGAGGTCTGAAGCGTTGTAATTAGTCTGTAAGGTTCTGGTTAGAGTGTACAGAGCTATTTATTTTGTGTACTCGGTCTGTTAAACACAGCAATGTATCCTGTGTACCCCATTGCTGCAGTGTGCTTCCTTCTGGCTCGTGGCTGCTGCTCTGGGGTTGTGGATGGTGGCAGGATGGGTGCTGGGAGCTGCTCAGCCCTCTGGAGGGACTGTGGGCTGGGTGAGTTGGGTACTTCCTTTTGGAAATGACAGCTTTGTGTGTCTTGGGCCACTTCTTCATTGTTACCTGGCTACAAGGGCTGGAGAAATGCCCTGCTTTGCTCACGACTCTCTGGTTTCTCACTTTTTAGGACCAATAGGAAAGCCCATAATAGAGTGAAGCGTGCTTCTTGTGAGCCACATCCTGCTGGAGGGGCCAGGGCAGCAGCAGGGGTGAAGGTGAGCAGAGAGCTCTGCAAACAACCACAGAAAGCGGCTTCTCCTGCCCACAAACCCCCCATCCCCACATCCCTGACTGCCTTTAGAGCCACATGGAAGCTGGCTAAAGCTGACAAAGTGCATGCTTGTTCCATGTGGCACGTCATACTTCAGTACTGCTGAGCAAAGGCACAATCCAGCTATTCCTATGGGCCGCCATGCTGCCACGTGCCCTGGGGCTTTGAGACACCCTGGTCTTCCTTCTCTGTGCCACATCCCCATGCCCAGCTCTATTTCCAGCTGACAGGAGCCAGCCCTTCATTCCCAGAACGCAGCCCTTTGCTCCCACACCATACAGGACTCATATCAGGATGCCCCTGCTCATTTGCATTCCCATACTACTTTAAAGGCTGGGCTAAGACTTTTTTCAACCCCTGTGCACATCCTGCGCTGCGCTGCACCACAAGAAGAAAGGAGCAGGGCTGGCCACAAGCACATGCTTTACTACTGTGCAACAAAGTGAGCCTCGCTTTGTGCTCAGCCCTGTGCTGGCACTGCTGGAGCAAAGCGATCCCCACAGCTCTACCCCTGGGCCACAATTTGGTCGATCCAGTTTCGGAAGTAGCTGACGCGTGTGTAGACAGCAGGCGTGCGGACGTTGCAGTTGCTGTTTCCCCAGGAGACGATGCCAATCAGAGTCCAGACGTTCCCACTCTGGTACACGAGGGGACCCCCGGAGTCGCCCTGCGGGGATGAGAGCTGCAGTTTAGGGATGGCCCCATCCCTACCAGTCCCAGGACTTTGCTCCAAACGGGTTCCTACCACCCCAGTCCCTAAGATGCTTGAGCTCAGAGTCTCCAAGTGCAACACCCCACCGTCCTCCTTGTTCCAGGCTCCTCACCTGGCAGGAAGAGGCTCCGGCCCCCCCGGCGCACAGCATGGCGCTGGTGATGCTGGTGCCCCAGTACCGCCGGCACTGGCTCTGCGAGACCAGGGGCAGAGAGACCTGCTGCAGGCGTGACGCCAGAGCGTTGGCTTTTGGAGGAGAAAAAAGCTGTGTTACTCACTGTTACTCACATATGTCTCCCCATGTGCTCACCAATGGATGCAGTCATGCACTGCTACCCTCCCAGCACAGTAAGAGCCCCCCCCCAAGAGCTGCAGGGTACCTACAGGTGGTGCTGATGCGTCCCCAGCCGGTGGTGACGCACTGCTGGGTGTCAGACAGAGCCAGGTTGGCAGCAGCCAGGCAGACGGAGGACACACGGGAGCCCAGCTGGGCGGCCGAGGAGAGCTTCAGCAGCATGATGTCGTTGTTGAGGGTGTAGGCGTTCCAGTTGGGGTGCGTGACGGCCTGCCGAGGGCACAAGCACTTCGTCCTGGCCATGGGGCAGAGCTGCAGTGCCCTCCCAGAGCTACAGCCACCCCGCTCACCTTCGACACGGTCTTCACCTGGACAGACTCAGACTGGGAGTTGAGGTTGTATTCCCCAAGGACGACGACGTGGGAAGATGGGCTGCAAGACAGAGGGGTTGGGGGTCCTGCAGCACCACCGGGAGGGAGTGGCGGGCTGCTCGGTGCCCTCGAGGCTGTGCCCAGTGTGCCTCGACCCTGTGCCCATCCCCAGTGTCCCCAGTGGGGTGCGGAGGGCATCGCTCCTTACTTGAACTCGCAGTGGGCGGCTGTGACCACCCAGTTCTTGTTGATCAGAGAACCGCCGCAGAAGTGGGATCCTGAGCGGGTCTGGGAGGAAAGGAAGAGGAGGAGCTGGGGGTGGGCAGGGGGTACCCTCACAGCAGCCCATGCATGGGAATGGGACAGGGATGTACCTGCAGGGACACCTGCCAGGGCCAGGAGCCGGACACTGCATTCTGCCCATTGATGATCCTCTCACTGTACCGCACCGAGGGGCTGATCTGGGGCTCCCCGCAGCCTATGGAGGAGCATGGGAGGGCTCAAGGCTCGTGCCCACAGGCATCTCCTGCACCCCGAGGACCTGCCTGCCTCCTGTGCAGGAGGACACGGACACCTGCCCAGCGTTGGGCTTACCTGAAACAGTGCTGGCCAGGGCCAGACAGATGGCTGCCCACAGGAACGCCATCCTGGGAATACATGGCAGTGCCCCAGGGCTGCTGGCTTTATAGCAGCTGGGAGCTGTGTGGCTCGTGGCCAGGCAGGGCAAGGTCCTGTCCTGTCCCAGCTGTGGGCAGTGGTCCCTCCAGGCTTGTGTGAGAGCTGTTCTTCCCCCATGCAGCAGTGATACGGTGGCCTGGCAAGGCGTTGTCCCAGCTGGATGTTCCCAGAGCCCAGGGTCACCTTAGGTACAGCCCTGTGCAGGTGAGCACATCCCAAGGCCAGGTGGGGCAGACAGAAGCTTTCCCAGGCAGTCGGGAGCCATGGAGAGCAGGCAGCAAGCCCTAGGGAGGACAGCGGTCTTCTCCTTGAGCTCATCACCTCTGAGCCCTTCCTGCAGGTGCCTGATCCCTCTGCTCCCTAGGCCTGAGTGCTAGGGAGTAGTCTGATTTCCCCCAAATCCCCCATCACCATCCTGGGCTTACTTGAGTGCCAGGAGCCATCCCTGGAATAATGCTGAGCATGGGGATGCGTTCCCTGCTCTGTGCTCCCCATTCCCTGCTCCCCTGAGGCACATTGGCCAGACATAGCCAGGTAAGCTATTGCAGAGCTCAGGTCTTTATTATTGGCATTGGTGCCATACAACAGCAGTGGGATCAGGCCCATCGTAAGGCAGAAAGAATGGCAGAGCATAGAATTCAGCCCTTCCACTGCCCAAGATGCCTGCAGGGCTGGCAAAACAGTGCAGGCCAGGCAGGAGGAAGTGGCAAAAGAGAGCTGTGCTGCTCCAAGGAAGCAGAGCACACAACATGCTTCTGCTCCTCACCTTCCCCTGGCATATGAGGAAAAGAGGACCAAGGGATGGAGAGCAGCAGAGGATGACTGTGCCCAGGGAGGTCTGCCCATCATGGAGAAAGCTGAGACTCCATTCACATTCTCTCAAGTACTGAAGTCTTGGACTTTGATGCTATTGTAAATGTTGACCAGAGAGCTTGGGCAGGTCACCAGAACTCTGATCTGTCCCTCCATGCGAGCAGGGAGAGAGTTGGTGGCAAGAGCTCCGTGTGTTCCTTCTCCTCTCTGGTCATTAGCCATAGTGAGCCGGCTGAGATCCATGGAGGACCCAGCTGGTCCTGTAAGACCCTGTAAACCTGGGACTAGCAGTGCTCCAGTTTTGGAGCTGTGGTGAGAAAAGAACCAACGCACAGGTCACTCTGGCTGCCTGGATGCACCAGAAATTGCTGCAGCCCCAAGAGACTTGGCTT